GAGAGGGAAGGGATGGATGATACCCAGGTGGGTGGCTAGTTGAGTGGGCGAGTGAATGGGTAGAAGATGGATAAATGGATGAATGATTGGTGGGTGGATCAATAGGTAGGTAGATGGATCTATAGATGGATGCGTAGATGGACCAATGGGCAGGTAAGTGGATGATTGGGTGGGTGGGTGGGTAGATGGACAGACATATAAATGGATAAATGGATGGGTAGGTGAGTGGGTAGATAGGTAGATGAGGAATGAGCAAATGAATGAGAGAGCCAGCTTTAGTGTCTGAGTGATTGGTTGTAGGTGAAGATGGGAACTTAAAGTGTAGCCTAGGGAGTTGGGATCACAAGTGGGTGCCACCACACCTAGCACTAAATGTTGGGGTTTTTGTCACACTGGGGGTGAAGGCTAACACTGGAGCATGCTGAGCAGGCCCTGTACTTTGGACCCCAGCCCCATCTTCAGGCTCTTGGTTGCTCCATCTAGATGCAAGTCTATGTATCTTCCTCAGGGTTCTCCCAGATCTGAGCTGAGTGCAGTGGGTGCTCAGTGATTCCTTGAGGAGTGGGCAGTGGTCTCAGGGTAGGATCACTGTATCCTAACACCAGTTCTTTTCCAGGTTCCGGATGAAATGCCACCTCTGCATCAACTACATCGAGATGCAAACAGACCCTGCCAACTGTGACTATGTCATTGTGAGTGGTGCCAGTCGCAAGGAGGAGCGTTGGGACATGGAAGACAATGAGCAGGTTCTGACCACAGGTGAGCACCATTTGCTTGCCCATCCCACATGACCCCAGGCTGCTTCCCCAGAGTCATGCTTATGTGGTCCTTGCAGAGCATGAGAAGAAAGAGAAACTGGAGACGGACGCCATGTTCCGCCTCGAGCATGGTGAGGCTGACCGCAGCACACTGAAGAAGGCCCTGCCCACACTCAGCCACATCCAGGAGGCACAGAATGCCTGGAAGGATGACTTCGCCCTGAATAGCATGCTACGCAGGCACTTCCGGGTGAGGGAACACCACAGTAGACTCAGCAGACCAAGATCTGGGAGACAAGGGTTCAGATCTGTGTCCCCACAGCCCATTTGCAAGCTGGTCACTTCCCCTCTGACCCCAGGCAGAGGGAAAATGTGCTGCACAGAGTCATGACCCTGCCTAATCTCTTCCTGCTACTATAACAAATATACCACAAACTGGAGTTTATATACTAAAAATGTATTATTCACTGCTACACAAGCTGGAAGTCTAGCATTGAGGCAACTACAAATTGACTGTGTACACAGTGCCTGATCTGGTTCCTCCAGAACTTCCAGCTGGATGGATCCTCAAGGGCCAGAGGCTCCCTATAAACTCCTATGTAAGGCACTGACCCTGTTCATGAGGGAGAGCCCTTACAACCTAGTCACCTCCCTAAAGCCTCAGGATGTCAGCTGTCACACAGGGCACTAAATGTCAACGTAAACAGGGAGCCAGTTTTTTTTTGTTGTTGTTGTTGTTGGTTTTTTGTTTGTTTGTTTGTTTTTCTGAGATGGTTTCTCTGTGTAGCAGGCTGTCCTGGAACTCACAGATATCCACCTGCTTCTGCCTCCCAAGTGCTGGGATTAAAGGTGTGCACCACCACCACCTGGCTTTTAAATATGTAGCCCAGGCTGGCCTCGAACTCCTGATACTCCTGCCTCTGTCTCTTTCAGTAAATCCTACCAGTGTGAGCCACCATAACTGGCAGGAGAATCTGTCTGTGATTCTAGCCACATAGGGGACTAAAATGGGAAACTTCTGGCCCAAGAGGTAGAGTCTAACCTCAAAACCAGAAAGCTGGATCTGATGGCTCGTGCTTGTAACTACTATGCTCAGGAAGCTGAGGCAGGGAAACTACTTCAAGTTCCAGATCCATCTGTATTACAGAGGGAGTCCCCCCCCCCACCAAAGAAAAGAGGGGGGAGGATAGGAAAAGGTTCTGGGGCCCCAGAATTGGTTTAGGCTTAAGTATGGTCTTAAATTCCCTATCCCCTGCCTGGACCTCCAAGTACTGGGATCACTGGCATGGCCACCATACCTTCTTTATCATTTCTTATGGAATTTATCTAGTAGGTCACACCTGCAGCCCATCATTGGTCAAAGTGTAGTGTTGTAGCACATGACCATGTTTTTGGCATGAATGCATGAAAGACTGAATGCAGGACTGACATGAGCCCCTACACATGGGGCCACTTTCACGTCACAGGTACTGTATGGGCCCTTCACTTGTTTCAGTGTCAAGGGAGAAACAGAGTCCCAGTGGCTGGAGTGAGACCTATGGCTCTCAAGGAGGTGGGGTTCTGATGTCCCTCCCTGTGTGTCATGCCTACCCACAGGAAAAAAAGAAAGCCATGCTAGAGGAGGAAGAGAAGGACCAGGCACTGCAAGCGAAGGCCAGCCTGGCCATCCCTCTTGTGCCAGAGACAGAGGACGACCGAAGGCTGGCTGCCCTGCTACGGTTGCACACCCTGGACTGTGAGTGGTGGCACTTGTCCAGAAGGCCCATGGGAGGCTCTTAGGGGGCCCTGTTGCTTACAGTGGTGGGGGAGCTCAAGGCTTGGGTTATGTTCTGTGCACTCTCTGACACTGAGCCTTGGTCCCTTGTACAATGCCCTTTCTCTCCTACAGCCTATGAGGACAAACAGAAACTGAAGCGCACAGAGATCATCCACCGCTCTTGGTTCCCCTCAGCCCAAGGACCCAGTGCTAGCAACAGCAAAGCTAGCAATGTCCTCAAGAAACTGTGCCAGGGCCGCAGACCACCCCCCAGCACCACAGGCACAGTGGGGGACCTGGGCATAGTGAGGAGAAGATCTCAAGAAGTTCCAGAAAGCCCCCAGTGTGCAGCAGACTGTTCCTTGTCAGCAGAACCAAGGTCACCAGGAACCACCCAGGACAGACCTCAAGAGACACCAGATGCCCCTAGGACCAGCAAGTCACCAGAATCCAAGAGGGATTGTAAAGACCAGGTCTTACCCTTAGGTTCTTCCCAAAAGGACCTGCTATACCCCAGCAACCCCAGTGCCTCCCTGGTGGCTGACTACTCTGACTCAGAGAGCGAGTAAGTAAAGTCAGAATTCCAGGGACCAGAAGCCATGACTCATCCAGACCTTACGGACTATAGGCCCCATTGCTGCCAGCCCAGCCACAGACTTCTCTCCCTATACAGATCGTTATTTATTTAGTTTTGGTGAGGATGTCTGTGCCTTGGTGTAACCTCTGACATCTTAACATTAAAGCCCTATTCTTTGTCCCTGCCTTGAGCTGCTAAAGTCACCTAGTAGCTGTCTTGCCTTCACTTCACCCAACTAAGCAGATGCTGCTGCAGCCACTATTGTGACAGCACTGTCCCTACATAGCAGGATGGAGGGTTTGAGATATTGGATCAAGACTGGCCATGGCCTGGGGTGGCCTCCTGTATGAGGTGGCAGGAAAGTTGAAAGAGGGCCAGCTGCTGGAGTCACAGAAATAACACTAGAGGGAGGCAGGAAGGACATCCAGGCTGATTGAGGCATTCATAATGACCCAAAACCATCAAAAACACCCTGGCCCCAAGCTAGTGAGAGATCATGGACTCTGGTCTGACAAATGGGGAGCCTGCATAAGACCGAACTAGACTCCCTGAATATAGGTGACAATGGTGTGGCTGGGACAATATCCAAGACCTAACTAACTCTAATGCACAAACTGACTTAGTGGAGCCCATTCTATACAGAGAGATACCTTGCTCAGCCTAGACACGAGTGTGGGGGTGGAGAGGTGCCTTGGTCCTGCCTCAGTGAGATGATGGGACAGACTTAGTGGACTTCCTAGGGGAGGCCCTACCCTCTCCAGGGAGCAGATGGGAGGTAGAGGAGTGGTGGGAGCAAGAGGAGAGGAGGGAGGGGGAACAAGAATTGGAGTGTAAAATAATAAAAAAAAAAAATGTTAAAAGGGGGGGCTAGAGAGATGGCTCAATGGTTAAAAGCATGGTCTGCTCTCACAGAAGACCTGGATTCGAGTCCCAGCAACCACACTTGCAACTCCAGTTCCAGGGCTTCTGACCGCCTCACACATACATGCAGGCAAAACACCAATGAACATAAATTATATATTTTTTAAATGTTAAAAATAGTTAAAAAAAAAAAAAAAAGATGTATTAGCAAACCACTGACTTCCACAATCCAAAGCCAAGGATAGCAGAGATCACTAGACCCCTCAGAGAAATTCCTGAATCGCTGTATCCCATTGATATTACTATCCCATTCCTATTACTATGAAACATAATAAAATTGTGCCCATATTGGAATGGGGGAGTGGGCATCCTGGTGCCCATATTGGAACGGGGAAAAACTCCCTGGTGGCGACCCAGCAGTAGACAAGTTGTGGTCCAGTCCAACCTGGCTACATAGAGAAGTCCCTGTGGGTTTTTGTTTGTTCTGTCTTGTTTTTAAGATGGGGTTTCTCTATCCCTGGCCGTCCAGGAACTCACTATGTAGACTAGGGGGAATTTACAGAGCTCTGCCTCCCAAGTGCTCAGATTAAAGTCAGATTTATTTTTAAGAGTTTGCATGTATGAATACATTGCCCTACTGAGGTGAAGAGGACCCCCCTGTAACTGGGGTAGACGAAGCTGTGAAGCCACTTGAGAACCGAACTCTGGTTCTTTACAAGATCAGTATACACTCTTAACCACTGAGCAATCTCTCCAGCTCCTAAGAATAAATTACTCATGGTACTTGCTTTTAAGGAAATGGGGCTAAAAGTGAGTCCAGGAAGACCGTTTGATTCACTGGGTGTCTGTGAACCGTAGACGAGTAAAGCTGAGGCTGCCCAAGTATCGCTTCAGTAACGAATGAACAGTTCTCCGCAAAAATAACCCCATCACCAAGCACCTTGGCATTCCCAACTCTGGCCTTGGCGACACCGGAAGAAGCTAATCGCAGGCACTCCGGGCTGCGAGGGCGCAGGCGCAGGCGGCAGCTTGAGATTCCGCCCCTCAGCCTAAGCGGACAGCAGTGTGGCCCAACGCACCAGGTACCATGCGACTGGAAGCGATCCGCTACTCTCCGGGCTCGCTGCAGATCCTCGACCAGCTGCAACTGCCTGAGCACTGCCGCTATGAGACTTTGGGCTCGGCGCAGCAAGCCAGGGAGGCCATCCGCGCCATGAAGGTGCGCGGCGCCCCCGCCATCGCGCTGGTGGGCTGCCTCAGCCTGGCGGTGGAGCTGCGGGCGGGCGCCGGCGGTCCTGGGCTTGCCTCTCTGCTGGCCTTCGTGCAAGACCAGCTGAGTCTCCTTGTCGCCGCCAGGCCCACCGCTGTCAACATGGCCCGTGCCGCCAGAGATCTGGCTCGCGTGGCAGCCCGGGAGGCGGAGCGCGAGGGTGCCACGGAGGAGACGGTGCGGGAAAGGTACGGGAACCTGGGTCAGGCAGTGCAAGCGGAAGCTACTGATTCCCTTCCCCCTTCTACGGATACCAGGAAGCAGGAGCAATGCAGGAGTGTGCGGTGTCTAGGGGCCCACTGGCAGGACTAGAAGCCCATCCCTGTGCTGGGTTCCCCAGGTCCTTGAACTCAGCCCCTTAGTGGCTCCACACCAGCCTTATGACACCCGTTACTGTTAGATTCGGCCGTGAGGTGTTGTGTGCTCAGTCCTGCTTTCCTCTTTACCTTCCTCCTTTCCTTCCCACTTCCGGGCAAACCACTTCATTCTCAGTGTTCTGCCTCATCTGTCAGGTTCCTGCTCCCTCCCTCCTCTTCTGTAATAACACCTTGTCCCTAACCCAGCCTTCTTGTCCCTCATTCTACCAGTTAATCAACTACCTCTCTCACCACTAATATCACCGCAGAGGGTTTTGTTGTGTTTACTACTAACCCCCAACACCTGACTCACAAACACGGATTTAGTGAGTAGTGTGACAGGTGTGTCCCCAGGAGAGCCCCACAACTTTGAGGAATGGAGAGCAGCTAGCCAGGTCCTTTCCAGCAGTGCTAAGCGCTTCTGTTGTCCCCAGCGTGATCCGCTTCGCCGAGGATATGTTGGAAAAGGACCTCAGAGATAACCGGAACATCGGGGACTTGGGAGCCCGCCACCTCCTAGAGCATACCAACCCCAAGGGTGGCAAGGTGACTGTGCTAACCCACTGTAACACTGGCGCTCTGGCCACTGCTGGCTATGGGACAGCCCTAGGTGAGGAGGCACTGTCAATTGTCTGGGCACGAGGGGGTCTTCTTTGTGGTGCAAGGCAAAGAACCTTGAGCTGGGGATGTTCGTTGGCAAGAGTACGAAGGAACCTGTGCAGATCTCGGCACCTACACTGAACAGCTTATAGCCACCTGCAATGCCAGCTCAGAGGACCCAACACCCTCTTCTGCCTCCATGGGCACCTGCATTCACACACACACACACACACACACACACACACACACACACACACACACACACACAAATTAAAAATAAATTATTTAAAAGAGTACATACTTAAGATGAACAAGGTCCAGATTTAGTCCCCAGAACCCAAATTATTTCAGCCACAGAAATGTAAATATTGGTTTTGGGTTTTGTTGTTTTGTTTTGTTTTGGAGTTTTTTATTTGTCATTTTGGTTTTTCGAGACAGGATTTCTCTGTAGCTTTGGACTCTGTCCTGGAACATGTAGACCAGGCTGGCCTTGAGCTCACAGAGATCTGCCTGCCTCTGCCTCTCAAGTGCTGGTATTAAAGGTGTGTGCCACCAACACTCAGCAATTTATTTATTTTTATTTTATGCATTAAAGTGTCAGATTTTGGAGTCACAGACAGTTGTGAGCTGCTGTTGGTTCTGGAAACTGAACTCAGGTCCTCTGGAAGAGCATCCAGTGCTCTTAACCACTGAGCCATCTCTCTGGCCCTTGTTTTGTTTTTCCAGGGTTTCTTTGTGTAGCTTTGGAGCTGTCCTGGAATTCATTTTGTGGGCCAGACTGGCCTTGAACTCACAGAGATCCACCTGCCTCTGGCTCCTGAGTGCTGGGTTTAAAGGTTTGTGCCATTACCATCTGGCACTTGGGTTTTTTTTTTTTTTTTTTTTTTTTTCAAATATCATTTTTGTGTGTATGAGTGTTTTTGTCTGCTTGTGTATATGTGCACCACACATGTGCCTGGTGCCCAAGGAGGACAAAAGATAGTGTTGTACCCTCCAAAGCTGGAGTTACAGGTGGTTGTGAGCCACCATGTGGGTGTTTGGAACCAAACCCAGGTCTTCTGTAAGAGCAGCAGGTGCTTTTAACCACTGAGTCATCTCTCCAGCTCAGGATATTAGCTTGTTGTTGTTGTCTTGTTTTCCCTATCCCCAGTATATTAGTTCCTGTACAGAAACACTTTGGAAGTTGTTGGCAGGGGTGGGTATGTCAAGGATTTCAACCAATGGCGCATTAGGATCCTATCCCTCATTTTGCCCATAGACTAGAAACTTCCCTGGGCCACATGCCTAGAGAAGGGGCATAGCATGGACTCCTAGGGTACTGGCAAGCAGAATGGCATACCTCATAAGACTGGGAAAGCTGTAACCAGGAGATAGGGACTTGGAATCAAGGCAGCAGATTCCTCCTAGCCCTTTGTTGTCCACGAAGCAATCCTGTCTGCCTAACCTCAGCACTGGATCTTGGGAACCCAGATCTTCAGAACAAGGCTCATGTTCACCTTTCATTGATTCAGCCTGCATTCACTAGGGAGCCACCAACTTCCAGGGAGTGAAAACACAGTGGGGAACTGTAGAAGAGATGCCAGGCATCTGCGGACTGAAGACAAAGGAGTGCCACGGGACTTAGGAGTATGGTCAGCAGTGGGCACCGCCGAGAATCCCCATGAAGGAGCTGGGTGTACAGTCAGCTATAGAGCCCCTGCCACCCAAATGCAATGCCATGGGTTCCATCCATCCCCAGTGCCGCAGAACAAGCAAAAAATAAATTATTAGAAGGTGCTAAAAGCCACTCATATTTCAAGGCCTAATCAGAACCACTTAGCCAGATCTTAGGTCAGCAATGGCAAACGCCCTAAATGACAAGGACAGGGCCGGGACTAACGATCAGAGACAGGAATCTCGGGGTGTCAGAAGTGGATGTAAAGATGATATGGGCAGTGTGTCCTGCACAGGGAATAGCTACAGCAGAGGCTGGCAGCCATGCTGTGCTCTGCACTGGCCTCAGCATTTTCATCCTAGACTCAGGGCCACCCTGCTTGTCCGCTGGTATGCCCCACAGGTGTGATCCGTTCCCTGCACGAGATGGGACGATTAGAACATACCTTCTGCACAGAGACCCGGCCCTATAACCAGGGAGCCCGGCTGACAGCCTTTGAGCTGGTATACGAGAAGATTCCTGCTACTCTAATCACTGACAGCATGGCAGCTGCTGCCATGGCACACCGGGGTGTATCAGGTCAGTGGGCTGGGCACAGTGGGGCAGGTAGTGCTGTGGGCAAAAAGCCAGGTGTGTGACCTCCCCAACTCTCCCCAACCCCACCCTCAGCTGTGGTAGTGGGAGCTGACCGTGTCGTTGCCAACGGAGACACAGCCAACAAAATAGGCACATACCAACTGGCCATTGTCGCCAAGCACCACGGAATCCCCTTCTACGTGGCTGCCCCCAGCTCATCCTGTGATCTCCAACTGGAAACTGGCAGGGAGATTGTCATAGAGGAACGCCCTAGCCAGGAGCTGACTGACCTGAATGGAGTCAGGATTGCTGCACAGGGTAAGGTGTGGGCTTCAGTGACATGAGCTGCTTTCTCATCCGAGCTCCTCCTCAGTTGGATTCCGATGAGGGAGGTTAAATTCAAAGTTAGACTTGTAAATTGTGCTGGTAGATAGAGATGGGACTCAGTAGGTAGAGTGTTGGGATGGAGAGCCGAGTTTGGTGCCCAGAACCAACTTTTTAAAAAGACAGCTGTGGTGGCATGGGTGTTTTTGTTGTTGTTTATTTGGTTTTGGTTTTTTATTAATTATTGATGCAGGGTTTCTCTGTGTAGGTAGTATTGGCTGGCCTGGAACTCACTTTGTAGACCAGGATGACCTTGAACTCACATAGATCCACCTGCCTCTGCCTCCCAAATGCTGGGCTTAAAGGTGTGTGCCACCACAGCCTGGCATGGCACAAGGTTATAATCCCAGTGCTGGGAGGACAGATGGCAGATCCCTGGTGCTTCTAGCCAGCTGAGTCTAACCAGCCAGTCCCAGATTCAGTGAGAGACCGTCTCAAAAGCTAAGCTGGATGGTTCCTGAGGAGCCACACCTGAGGCTGGCTTCGAGCCTCTACATGTAAGAGCACATGCATGCACACAAGGAATAGTGCTAGGTGTGGTGGTGCAACCTGTAATCCCAGCGTTCCAGAAACCCAGGCAGAAGAGCCGCACAAGTTCAAGACCAGGTGGTACAAGTGAATTTTAGGCTAGTGTGGACTGCCAAGTGAGGCACTGTCTGAAACACCAAGAACAATCAGAAAAACATAAAACCGACAAGCCTCTGCTTAGACAAATGTCTGTATAAACAGCCAGGGATGGTAGTATATACTTGTGCTCCCAGCACTGGAGAGGCTGAGGCAGGGAGGGGGCTGCTCAGACTTCAGGTTCATCCTGGACTACATAGTGAGACCCCATCTCAAAAATCAGAAAGAGGCCGGGCGATGATGGCACACACCTTTAGTCCCAGCTTTCAGGGATGCAGAGGCAGGAGGATCTCTGTGAGAGTGAAGCCAGTCTTGTCTACAAGAGCTAGTAGTTCCAGGACAGCCTCCAAAGCCACAGAGAAACCCTATCTAGAAAAAACAAAGTTAAAAACCATTCTATACACATAAAAAAGTCTTACAGAATAAACAAGATATTTTCAAATAATTTGCTGGTCTTGGTGGTGCACATCTGGTGGACCTAGGAGGTAAAGGCAGAAGACAAGGACTTCAAAACCAGCCACAGCTGCATAGAAAGTTTGAGACTAGCCCAAGTTACATGTATGACCCTGTGTTAGAGAAATTATTACATTTTAGAAATTGATTTTCAGCTGGGTGGTGGTGACACACGCCTTTAATCCCAGGACTCGAGAGGCAGAGGCAGGAGGATCTCTGTGAGTTCGAGACCACAAGAGCTAGTTCCAGGATAGGCTCTAAAAACCACAGAGAAACCATGTCTCGAAAAACCAAGAAAAAAGAAAAGAAGAGAAATTGATTTTCAAAACATCTGTGAAGGGGTCTGCCTCATCCTCAGAACCCCCAAAACAGATGTAACAGCAAAGCACATCCACATTTGAGTCAGTGCAGAAGCCCTGGAGTAAATTTTGAAATTCTTAAATTCTTTGGAGCAGGCAAGAATTGGTTCCTTAAGGCCGAGGCCTTGAGCACCAGGAGCTGAGGCTGTGTTACCAGCCTCAGTGCCTGCACCTTTACCAGCTTTTTGGTATGTGTGAACCCCTAGATTCTCAAGGACTCTAGCCCCGAGAATTGCTGTGGTGAGGACAAATGCACCAGAGCCAAATCTCCGCCTAATGTGTCCTCTCTCCCTGCAGGAATCAGGGTTTGGAATCCTGCCTTTGATGTTACCCCCCACGAACTCATCACTGGTGGCATCATCACTGAGCTGGGTGTCTTTGCCCCTGAGGAGCTCCGAGCAGCCCTAAGTGCCTCCGTCTTCTCAGAGGGACAGACCCTAGATAATCCCCAGATGTGACTTGCTGGCTTCTGCAACCTCCCTGACCTGCTCTGGTTGCTCTAGTTTTATAATAAAGTTCTCAAATGGCTACCCCAAAGCTCATCCTCGCACACACCTTCAGCTGCAAAAGCAGACCTGATTGTGCAGAGTCCCAGTTTATACATTTCAGCCCAAGTTTATACATTTCAGCTCCATCCTTTATATGACCTATATGGGGTACAAAACCAGATATGGGGGTATACACCTGTAATCCCAGCTCCTGGGAGGCTGAGGCAGGAGGATTTCTTTGGTTTATAGGCTATCCTGGGCTATAGATTAATAATAAAAAACAATGTGGAAATAATCAGGATGATCTTAGATATCTTTGAAGTGTTTGTTTCTTTGGTTTGGTTTGGTTTTTTTCAAGACAGGATTTTTCTAAGTAACCCTGGCTGTACTGGAACTCACACCACACTGGCTTTGAAATCACAGAGATCTGCTTGCCTCTGCCTCCTAAATCCTGGGATTAAAGGCATGCACTACAACCACCCAGCTGTATATTTTTATTTTGTGTGTGAGTGGCTCTCCTGGAACTGGAGCTATTGGTGGTTGTGAGCTGCCATGAGGATGCTGGAAACAGAACCCAGGTCCTCTCTGCAAAAGCAACAAGTGCACTAAAAGAGGACACCAGAGTTCAGTAATTAAGACAAATGTTTGTTTTTTTAAGACAGAGTCTCTGTATCTTTGGGTGGCCTGGAACTTGCTATGTGGACCAGGCTGGCCTGGAACTCAGCGCTCCACCTGCCTCTGCCTCCTGAGCAAAGTGTTAAAGGTGTGAGCCATGACAACCTGCTTTGTCTTATCTATCTATCTGTCTATCATCTATGTATCTATCTATTTGTTTTACTTTTGAGAGTCTCTGAACCTGGAACTCATCAAATAGGCTAAACTGCAGGGACCCTCCTCTCTTCAGCCTCCTCAGCACTGGGGTCACAGGTCTTTGCACCATCACTCACTGGGGATGGAACTCAGGTCCTCGTGCATGAGCAGTAAGCACTTTACCCACTGAGTACTGTTTCCAGCCACGAGGTATATATTAATTTTTTTTGTTGTTTTTGTTTTCTGTGTAGCTTTGAAGCCTATCCTGGAACTCGCTCTATAGACCAAGCTGGCTTCAAACTCACAGAGATCTGCCTGTCTGCCCCCTGGAGTGGTGGCACACACCTTTAATAATCCCAGCACTCGGGAGGCAGAGACAGGGGAATCTCTAAGTTCTAGACCAGCCTAGTCTACAGAGTGAGTTCCAGGACAGCTAGGGCGATACAGAGAAACCCTGTCTCAGAAAACCAAAGATATATAGGTATTGAAAAGATCAGTGCTGATGCTGTGACTGTGACAGCTTCTGTGTTGTGTGAGGCTAAGTGCCATCCCCAGCACAGCTGCAAAATGAATGTATCATGACAACCTAAGAGTTTTTTTTTAGTGACTTGTTTATTTATTAAAAACAATGTGCAGGCCGGGCGGTGGTAGCGCACGCCTTTAATCCCAGCATTCAGGAGGCAGAGGCAGTGGATTTTTGTGAGTTCAAGGCCAGCTTGATCTACAGAGCGAGTTCCAGCACTGGCTGGCTCCATAGCTACTTAGAAACCCTGTCTTGAAAAACAAACAAAAAACCTGTAGGCATCAGTTCTCTGAGAGTGCTGAGATTAAATGAATGCACTACCATCCAGCATCAAAACTCGTCAGGCACCTTTACACACAAGGCCATCTCACCAATGATTACCGAAGTTTTTTGGTGCTCCCTTAATTTTCCACCAAAAGTGAGTTCCTTGCATGCCTCACCCAAGTCTAATTTGAACTTTTATGTATAAAAAGCACAGACCATCGTGTTTTATAATACACAAGTGTCCTGGTCCCTGAAAATGGGAACATAGTTTTCTTTCGGATTTTTTGAACAGCCATTCTAATCTAAGTGTGCGGTCCTGGGTCCCCTGCGGCCTTAGGTCGCACTGTGGCCAATGACGTCTTGTGACTTCCGGTTCTCCTGCGCGTGGCCCCTCCTCCTCCGGCTCGTGGTGAAACATGGCGCAGGGACAGCGCAAGTTCCAGGCGCAGAAACCTAAAAGCAAGGCAGCAGCTGCGGCGGACCGGAGCCGAGGGCCGAGGAAAGGCGGTGAGGAACGGTGTGGGGATGAGGGCGAGAGGGCGGCGGTACTCCGGGAGGGCGGCCCAGGCTCACTGGCGGTGTTACCCCGTAGGTCGGGTCATCGCTCCCAAGAAGGCGCGCGTCGTGCAGCAGCAAAAGTTGAAGAAGGTGAGTGGATCGCAACGGTGGGTGGCCGGGATGAAAGCGGGCCGAGAGGATTCCAGCTCCGAGTCTGTGTCCTCTCCTGTTCGATGGATCCAGACCCCACACTTAGCTTCTGAGGAGTTCAGACGTTGGTTAGGAACTGTGAGAAAATAGCCTCGGGTTTTTTGTTTTTGTCTGTGTGTGCTTGCATTGTGTGTGCCTGATACCGGAAGAGGTCAGAAGAGGATGTCCAATCCCCTGGAACTAGAGTTATTGATGACTTTGAGCCATCATGTTTGCTGGGAACGGAACATTGGTCTTCAAGGATCAGAAGTGCTGAAGCCTGGCCTGGTAGCACACGCCTTTGATCCCAGCGCACTGGGTGCAGAAGCAGGCTGGTCTATATACTTTAATTACATGTGTGTGTGTGTGGGTATGTGCCCATGCCCACGGAGGCCAGAAGCAGCAGCACTGGCTACTCTTCTACCAGATCTCAATTCAGTTTCCAGCACCTACATGTCAGCTCACAACCATCCATAAATAACTCCAGTCACAAGGGATCTCCAATGCCCTCTTCTGCAGGCACTGGCTGCATGCATGTGGGACACAGACATACATGTGAGCAAAACACTCTCATACACATAAATGAAAAATTAAGTAGGGAAATTAGAGGCTCCAATCTGGCTTCCCAGACATCCCCCCTAGGCAGGTAACCCAGCAGCCTCCTCTGCCCCATGGGGTACCCACTCTTAGGCCCTTAAGTGAGTTCCTTCATAGTCTACCATTGGACCTCTTTGCCTTTTGCCTTCCCAGGTTCAGTGGTCATCCTCGAACTGTGCTCTTAACCAGTCTAGTCCCGTTGGCATATATCCAGGGTCCACCTACTTCTCTGTCCCCTCATTTCCCATCCTAGGTTGCCTCCTAGCCAACACTATCCTCTTCCTGCTCACCACTGGTTCCCCTCTGCCCAGAACCTTCCATGTCTGCTTCCTGGTCAGCAAAAGCCAAGTCCTTCATCTCTCTGTCCTCATTGCCTTTCATCCTCTCTTCTGTCCCTCTAGCCTTACTGGCCCTTTAAGGATTCTTTGTCCGGGTGCTAGATATATTCTTTTGACCTGAGCATGACAGCACCTGGGCCTATGGTGGTTAAGTCCAGGCTGGCAGGGGTAGCTTGAGTCTGAAGCTGTTCTCAGAGAACAGAAGGAAGGGTGTGTGTGTGTGTGTGTGTGTGTGTGTGTGTGTGTTCAGGCTGAGGAGAGTGAGAGCTTGCTCGTGTGTGTGTGTGTGTGTGTGTGTGTGTGTGTGTGTGTGTGTGTGTGTGTGTGTGTGTTCAGGCTGAGGAGAGTGAGAGCTTGCTCTGTGTCCCTCACAGAGCCTGGAAGTGGGGATCCGGAAGAAGATTGAGCATGATGTGGTGATGAAAGCCAACTCCAGCCTGCCTAAGAAGCTCGCACTGCTGAAGGGTGCATCAAAGAAGACAGGGGCCGCCACGCCCAGCAAGACACCATCCTAAAGGCACTGAGACTTTACAGGTGACCCCACAGGCTGGCCAATTTGAAGAGGACCAGTCCTGATGGCACCTGGGACAGCAATGGGCAAGTGATGATAAAGCCTGAGGCCAGCTCCACTGGGTACTGAAAAGGCACTCAGCTTTCTGTAGGCTTAGGGTCTGTCTTTACTGGGGTGACACAGTGTGATGAACCTGGCCCTGATGTCCCTCCAGCTCTCAAGCAGCTCAGTGGGGAGGCTGTTTTGGGGCTCAGTGAGCCTCACTGGTCTCCACAAGAAATTTCTCCCACCCACGAAGTGCCCTTGACAGCCACAGACCCAAGAAAAGGCAATGTCATCAGTCAATAGCAGAAGCTGGCCGATACAGGTAATCTCATCCCTGGGCCTGGGTGGCCCTGGCCCCCCCCAGGCCACCCCCTCCAGTCACCTAGTGTCAGTGGTCCCTGTCCTACCTGAAGAAGGTTTCCATATCTTCAGTGCAGCACCATCTCATTCTGTCACACTAGTGATCCAGAGCCACTTGGAGATGGCCAGTGTTACACAATAAAGCTGTGCTCACAGAGGCTACATGCCATTCTTGTGCTTTCTGTCCTGTCCCCACCTCTTGTGTTGCTTGGGTGAGCTAGCCTACTGACACGCCAGGACCAGGCCAGCTCAGCCCCCTACTCCATAGCACAGCTCTGCTTCTGTCCATTGTGGGGCTCACACCTCTGACAGTCACTCAGACCTGCTAGACCAGATGTCAATCATGTCGTATTCGGGGTGCTTGACCTGGTGGCATCTCCCTTGGTGTGGCCCTGGAGCAAGCGATGAGTATGCTGGTTGCCTATCCTTTTGTGCCCAGCATGTCACCCACTGAGGTAGCAGAAAAGTGTCGAGTCATCCGGTGACTGCCCCCCCAGCTCTGACTGGGTGAATTTGGTCAGAATTTAGTGTTGAGGCTGTCTAATGCCTCCAGGCTGGCTTCTGGCTCACCATAGCTGGCTAATAGGCATCAGATCTTCATGTGTGCTGTGCTTAGCAAGCTCACCCTGGCCTAAGCTCCCGGTGCACTTGCACTGCAGAGGGAGGACCTGCTGGGTTTTAGTCCTGCCACCACACAGTTGCTCTACTGTGAGTGTGGAGGGACTGAGACTTCCTTGGAGACCGTTGTTAGTATCTCTGGCTTGTGATGGAGCAGTGCCCTGAGATGCAGCACACCACCACACAGATCCTGAGGAATGGGTCCATCCCATTGTGGATACAGCCCCAGAACCATGAACTCATCGGTGGCCTGCCTCAGGGTCTCCCAGTGTAAACCAGGCTGACCTCAAACTCAGCTGTACCTGCCTCTGCCTCCCAGGGTCTGTATTAAAATGTCCAAGGGCAAGTGTTATAGTGTGTATATGAGAGAGAATGAATGGGTACCTGAGGAGGCTGGAGGCAACCCGCCCTCTAGAGTTGGAATCATCGGCAGCTGTGAGCCACCCTACTCGAGAATAAGAGTAGTGGAAGCTGTAACAGCCGAGCTCTCGATCTAGCCCTATCACAGGTGTTTTGTGGTGGCAAGACTAAGATGTCTGGTCATAGTGGCACACGCCTTTAATCCCAGCACTAGGTAGGTAGAGGCAGTTAGACCTCTGAGTTTGAGACTAGCCTAGTGGGATGGTGGGGGACAGGGGTTCCAAGCCATCCAGGCTACATAGACCTTGTCTCAAAAAACAACAAAAATTTGGGATGAATGGGCTTGGTTGTCAGCTTAACTGGACTAGTGAACAGCAGCTCCTTGTGTCTGGCTGGTGCTGCAGAGGAATGGTGCAGGAGACAGTAGGTGATGAGCACCCTGACTGAGCTGCACCCTGGAAGTCAGGGAGGGTATTCTAGGATATGAATCTCCTGAGGTGCCTGCCACCATCAGGCTCCAGTCCAAGCCTTCCCACTGCACCAGACAGCTCCAGCAGCTGCACTCCAGGGAGCTTCTTCCCCTCAACGCCTTCTGGTGACTTGAGCTGCTGCTGAGTTCTCCAACTCTGGCATGGAGGTGGCCACTGTGTGACTACTCAGCTGTTGTCCTATAAGCTAATCCAGTGTCCCTTCGTATTACATTCTGCTGGTTCCCCCAAAGCACCCTGCAAGACAAACACAGGCGCTTGTACAAGCGTCAGTAGAATGCTTTGCAGTAACACAGTGGCAAAAACAACCTGCATTTGCATTAACTGGACTAGCAAGAATCTGCTCCAGCCACAGTGGCATATTATTCAGCCATAAAAAATGGAATGGGGGGAGGGCTGGGAAAATAGCTCAATGGGTAAAAATTTGGCACCAGCTTTGCCCACCTGAGTTGAGTCCCTAGAACCCACATGTGGAAGAGAATCAACTCGCTAAATAAATGTTTGTGGAATGGGCAATTCAGGACAATGCACACAAACAAGATCTCATTGGCTCTTTGGACACACATTTTTGAACACCCCCTTCCAAAAAATGTAGCCATAAGGTAGTGGGCATGTGTAAACCCTGTGCTTAGAAGGCTGAGGCAGGAGGATCCTTGGCAAGTCGGCCTGGGCTATAGAATTTTAACTGTCCAAAAGCCAAGAGCTGGGGTATCAGTGGTAGAGAGCTTGCCTGCCTCTGGCAAGACCCTCAGTTCCATCTCCAGCAAGGGAAGAAGTATGAGGGACAGTCACCAAGAAAAACTAGAGCTAGGAGGGCTGGACCAGCATTCCAGGGGCCTGCCATCTGGCGCCCGGGTTCGTGTGCACCAGGAAGACTGAACTGAGGGGAGACCCTCACTGGGAAGGAAGCTCCATGGGGGTCAGCCTCTTTCCTCCCCTGTCCCTGAGGGACTGACTGGTCCTCTGTAACCCAAGAGCCACACCTCCCCATGTGGGAATGAGGGCTTTCAGCAGCCTGTGACCACCTCAGTGCATAGTATCCTTTCTTTGAGGTGGGGCTCCTTAGCCCAGACTGTCCGTCATGCTTCTCAGCACCGTCTTTTGACATAGGGAGAGCTGAAAGCTGCCTAACTTTGCTTTTCTAAAGAAACAACTGGGGTCTGCAAGGTGACTCAGCAGGTAGAGGGGCTTGCCACCAAGTCTGATGACTGGAGCTTGATCCCCAGAACCCACAGGTTGCTCTCTGACCTCCACATTACATGCTGTGGCACTTGTGCACACGCAAAAGTATTTGTTTCATTGTTTTGTTTAAGAAAAAAGACACAGAGAAACCCTATCTTGAAAAACCATTAGAAGAGAGAGAGAGTTTATGCCAATGATGGACTCCTCCACACTGTTGGATCTTGCTAACATTCCATTTGTTGTTTTAGTTCTTACTCCTGAAACCAACTGACAACCTGCTTTGGAAAGAGGTCTCAGTCTCATTACAAGTGTGCTATAATGACATCTTACAGATGTAAGGAAAGTAACTTTAAAATGGAGAGGCTTGTGTTAAGGCTCTGCACAGTCTAAGGCATGAATTGTAGATGACCACTCTTCTCTGAAAGCCTGGCCAGTTCTCAGGATCAAGAACTGGGAGTGTTTTGTTTTTGTTTTTTGGTTTTTTTTTTTTGTTTTTGTTTTGTTTTGTTTTAACTGAGATAGAGACATGTTGATGCACTTCACAACCTTGACATCAGGCCAGTGTCGGAATGGAAGTGCATACATGTACCTGGATGATTGCCGAGGACTGGGCAATGAGCCGCCTTTGTTCATGAGGCTTAAAAGGTTGCCTCAGAGCACCTCTAGCTGCTGCTGTTTCAACCCGGGAAAAACATGCAATCAGACTAATGCAGCTTGTGCCCGCAATGACTATTGCTGCTGCTGCGTATTCCCATGTAGTGTTCCGGTGCTGTGTGAAACTTGTGCCCGTGATGACCACTGGTGATGCTATATACATATTCCCATGTATTCCGGTACTGTATGAAGAATGCCAAGTGGCAAAAAGTTAGGGGCTTCCCAGTCTTTATCTTAATTAAGCTTCCTTGTAGAATACATTTCTCTTTATCAACTAATTTTGTGGCTCCTGGGAGTTCTTTTTCATGGATCGAAACAAAAGTAAAAGTCTGTGCACAGCAAAGGGGCTAAAATTACTTGCCCTTACAACAGAGAGAGCAGAAGGCGGACAACACCCAGCCCCAGCAGCCTGCCCTCTTCCCTGCCTTGCCCTCCCACTGGCCATTCTCATCCCCGCACTCTTTCCCAGATGCCACCTCCATCTGTAATCAGTCGTCCCTTGCCCCTGCCCCCCCCCCCCCGGCAGGGCCATTTGATTGTTCCTCTTTTGTGGGGTTTGAGGGTGTTCTTTATTTTATTTGAGGCAAGGTAGGATTCTCTGTGTAGGCCTGGGTGGCCTGGAACTCACTATATAGGCCAAGCTGGTCTCTCCAACTCATAGGGTTCCACCTGCCTGTGCCTCCCAGAGGGCTGCGATTTGAAAGGCGGAAGTGCTGGCTCAAACCAATGCTTGTTTGTCTTTGGCTTGGTGCTGGGGGTGGACCCTAGGGCATCCGTGAGCCGGCTCTTCTGGGAGATAGTCCTCGGCCCTCTTTGTCTTCCCCTGCTTTCCTGTGTGTTTCACCCCTGTTTTGTTCAGGTCTTTCCCATCTAGACTTGTACCCAGAGGGTGGCCTGTGAGCTGGTGTGTGTAGAAGGGAAGGGTCTCTGGCCATAGAAAATCTGGTGTTTGGGGAGCTGCTCTGCCCTCTCCCACCCTGCTGCTGCCTTGAACTTGCTGAACAGCCAGCCCTGAGCCGTGAGCTTCAGCAGGTGGGCCCAGTGCTGCCCAGGCAGCCACTGCCCCACCAGGAACCAGCCATCTTCCACATGTCTACACCTTGCCCCTTGGAGCTACTGCCCACCCTGCTCAGCAAGCACAGGCACATTCTTCCATGCTTACATAGCATGCTCTTTTTAAAAAACAATTTCTACCGGCCAGTGCTGTCGAACACCTTTCACCTTTAGCACCAGCACTTGGGAAGCAGAGGCAGGTGGATCTCTGAGTTCCAGGCCAGCCTCGTCTACAGAGAGTTCCTGAAGAGCCAACACTACACAGAGAAACCCTGTCTTGAAGAACCAAAACCAAAATCAAAAATAAATGAAAAGTAGAAATAAAATTTAAAAATGTCTATGTGTACGAGTATTTTGCCTGCATGTATGTATGTCTGTGTACCACCACATGCGTGCCTAGTGCCCACTATGGCCCGAAGGATTTGGATCCCCTGGAACTAGGTTATAGGTATCTGTCAGCCACCATGTGGGTGCTGGGGACCAAATCCATGTCCTAAGAAAGAGCAGCCAGTGCTCTTAGCCTCTGAGCCATCTCTCTGGCCCCTGGAATGCCCTCTTTTGAAATCTACCTTTTTACCGGCCTTTATGGGATGGGGAAAAGCAGGGGACCCATGGGCCCTGGGTCTGGGTCCAGGAAGTCCTGGAGAGTTAGGCCTGCCCCCAACTTGCCTCATGCAGGCAAGCCAAGAAGCCTTGAGAATAGCTGCGGATGGCTCTGAAGCCAGCTTGGGGATCCCTTCAAAAGGCCCAATGGCCAGGGCCTGGAGTGATGGCACACCTGTCCCTTAGGCCTCCTTTCTC